GTATCTGCTGGGGAGTTTATTTCTAGGAGACGCTGCGTTCGGAGGGTCTGAATTTTGCCCTAGTCTTAGTCCTTGCTCTTTCCACCTGGCTGATGCGAGGTGGCGCCTACTCAGAGCTTCCCCTGGCCCTGCATTGCTTTCCAGAAGTGTCCAGGCACAGGAACTTAGGTGGCATTTAAGCTCCCTTAATATACATATAGCAATATATTATCTTTAATTTCCACAGAAACTGCTGCATTCTTTTCCTGCATTATTCCTCACCAGCGTATTAAACTTCTTTTTTGCATGCTTTGCACAGGTGCTGTATGAACAGCATTTACATGTTTTGTAAATTTGGTTTGGGAAGAACTTTGCAAAATGAAACTCTAAATTGTTTGGAGACATTTAAATTGAGAACAGCCTTGCAAGTCTCCCTTGGAGTTTTAAGTCTGATTAATTTACAGAACTGAAATACATTTTTCAATTTATATTCAAACCATGTTCATTGTTATTTTCTTTGTTATGGATTTTTAAAAATTCCAAGGGGAATGTTTTGCCATGGAAATCTGTCATCTTTACAATAAGCTCAGGCATCACCTTTGACCATGAGTATTTTCAAAAGGAGAACAGGGGAGGTGATTTCAGTTCCCACTTATGAGTCATCTATCCAATAGTGCCAAACTTCACAAAGCTCCTTAGCTCTGAAGAACTCTACCCTTCATATGATGTGCAAGCTGAGGGAAAAAACTGTCCAAAACAGCTCTGGGAATTTTGGGAGGTTGAACTTCAGGACACCTGAAGATGCAGTTGTTTTGCCCAAGGACACTGCTAAGCATGAGAACTATTTGGAGGTCATTAAGGTGAGCGTGGGGTGAACTAGACCTTAATATTGTGGCGATGGGCAGCCAGCTGCGAGCGGAGAGCCTTGGAATCCTTCTGAATTGTCTTTGACTTAACCAAGCTTGAGGAGGCTATTTTCATGAATATCTGAAAGCTGCGATATGTCAAAAAGTTGTATGAGCAGGAAATAACCTTATAAATAAGCTGTCATACTATAAGCATCATGATGAAAGACAGCTAAATTCATATCTCCGTACAAGGATCTCTCTATAAGTAACAGCTCTAAACCCAAACCAGGAGTGAGAAATTTCAGGCCAAATGATGAAAAACAGTATTTTTTCCACTGTGTGTGTGTGTTAATTCTACTTGTATCCTAAATCTCCAGGAAATTCTGCTGCAGATGACAAGCACAGGCCAGCCTGCAAGTTTCAGAAGCCTGTGTACTATAATGAAAATTCTGACACAACCTGGCTGTTGTAGCTGCTGTCAAATAACTACAGCAGGAGCACTTGTAACTAACAGGATTGCAGGTTTGACCCTGTCTTCTCTGAGTTTCCAGCTAGTGTATAGTATAGCTCCTTTGAAGAAGAAAGGCAAATCCAATTTAAAATGGCTGCATGATCTTGTCTGTGGAATGATACTATCTCTAAAAAAAATAGTATAAATATTTAGATAGCCTTGTGCTTACTCATTTGTGGAACCTGTTACTGCTGCTGTGTAAGGCAGTTATATAAATAAGAAAGTTTTAAGTGAGCCAAAAGAGAAATATGACTGGACTATAATGTTACTTCATATTTCACAAGGAAATCTGGGTATTTTATATGTATGTGGGTGATTATATGTGATTATTTGCCATTTGGCTCTTTCGAGCTTTTTAAATTACCTTTAAATGGGGTGAAAGTTGTAGAATGGCGGAATGTACCACAGCCAAACATAAATAATGAAATGATATAATCTTGTTTAAAAAAACATCAGACAGTTGCTTATATATTCCCTTTGATTTCTCATTTGCAGTTGCAGGGATATAGATCTCTTCTAGGTTGCTCCCTACCTGTCATTTATTTATATGAAAATAATTCATCGTAAGCCTAAAAACTGCAAAGCACGGACACTCCTCATATTATTGCCCCCTTTTTATTCCATTCTTTCATATTTAATAAATGGAATCTATTAGTATCAGACACTGAATATAAAAATAATGCAGGGCTGATATCAATGTGACAGCAGTGGGGAGAAAAAGGCCTCGTGCTGGTGAGGGTGACTCAGTGAAACACGGTGCCCAGGGCGGTTGCGGAGCCTCCTTCCCTCCTTCCTTGGAGGTTCTCAGAAGGTGCCTGACCCCAGTCCTGGGCAATGTGCTCCAGGGGACCCTGCTTGAGCAGGGGATGGGCACCGTCATCTCCAGAAGTGCCTTCCAACCTCAACCATTCTGTGAGAAGTGAAAGGATTGATGGTTTATTAATTAATAATATATAAGCTGCCGTGGTTTTTAAGGTACAAAAATCAGTTTTTTGATTCTTCTGAGGTCTTTGAAGATGTTTTATTTTCTGTCAATGGACTCAGTGTGATGCTATACATTTTATGCAATAGAATATCTTTCATCTCAGCATAAGAGACTAATTAAACTAAAGAGGGAAACTCACAGTTAGATAGTGATGGTATTTAAATGGAAGACTAAAACATGTAGTTCTGAATAAATATTGGAAAGTTGCCTATATGGTCATGTAATTCACCACAATCTATGCCAAACAAAAGTTTAAGCTTTAAACAAGAATCTTGGTACATCTGATAATGCCATTCACGTGACAATAGCAAAACTGTGACACTTATATCCACATTGATTTGCTGTCCGCTAAAGCAGCGCCCGTGGCGTCTGTTGACATTTTCGACGCTATTGTCATTTTCTGTGTGGTTTATCAATGCCCCGGTGCTGTGGAGGACACGGAGAGGCCGTCTGCTCGTGGCGCCTCCGCAGCAGCCTGCACCTAGTTCTCCTAGTCCTGCTGCTACTCAGCGTGAAACATTCCTTGTGGGTGTCCGTATATCCCTGGGCGCCCGTGGGGCTGTTCCTCATGAAAGGCTCGTCACCAGCTAATATGACAAATTCTGTATTTTAGGAGGAGGAAATTGATCACTTGAATCCTGTATTAATAGTAACTATTTTCAGATCGTCATAGATAAAGGATGTCCCAAATTTTTCAGAGCTGGCATGAGAGGTGTGCTTAGTCATTACAGTTAATTTTGGCTGTGGTTCCAGAGGCTTATTATGATGGAATTTGGTCTCTATTTTTGGTTGTCTCTGGATATTTGAAAAAATTAGGAACAGTTTTTAATGTAAGGTTCTGATGCCACCGTGAAGGACACTGGTTGACCCGTCCAAATGTTTTTTTTTAAAAAAAAAAAAAAACTTTCATTTTTTTACTTAGTTTTCACCAGTACAGCTAAATCTCTAATAATACATGGCCAGCTTGCTTTGCAACACAGGGGATTAGTATAGACTGCTTGCTGTTATGTTATTTAATACCATCTGGGGAAAAAATTCCTCTATATCCGTTTTCAGAAGCATTAAAATGTTTCGCAATTTCACTCCCTATAGTGGTCTCTGATAACTCTGTGGTAAAACTGCGGAAACAATAGATGTTTTCTGTCTTTAACTGTATTCCTTTGATGCCTGCCTTTCGGGTGGTCTGCGTCCAGTAGGAATTGGGTACCGTGCCCGCCCTTTAACACTGTGAATGTGGCCTACAAGCGTTCTCCATGCTGTGGTCCCCTTTGGACTCTTTTCATTTGCTGTTTTGGTCCCACATTGCATCCTTCTTATCTTCAATCTACAATCTATATCTTTTTGCCTATTTGAGGATCAGATCAGCCTCATTCTTGGTTCCTGTTGCTGTTAAGGGAATGGAAAGGGCAGCTGTGAGGAGCCCGGCAGCAAGTGAGCGGGGCAGAGCGTGACGGTGTCCGGGGCTGCCCGTTGAGGACAGGGCTCTGAAGCTGATGCTCTAGTCTTTTGTGCCTTATAAACAGATTCAGGACTTTTTTCTATAGGGAAATATTGCCAGTTAAATGTGCCTAGATAAAATGCTTTTCCTTGTGTTTCTGAGGAGAATCTTGTAAGTCTTTCTTGCAGGTTTAAGAACTGCTCAACATCTTGTATGTGGTCGTATTCTGCCAATGGCAGCAGTGGTCTGAAGCATTATACTTGAACTTTGCAGTTTTAATGAAGATAGGACTGCTTTAATAAGATGTGGCATATAGTGTCCTGCTCCAGACCCCTTATGGCACTACAGTTTAGGCAGGGAAGGAATTTCTTTCCCTTTGACGTCCATTTCAATTCTTATGTTTCTTTTTTTTTTTTTTTTTTCTCTCCTCTGTGATGGGAAGCATAGCTCTATTTGTAAACAAAATAATGCCTAGATCTGTTGTAACAACGTTGCCCATATAGTAAGTGTAATTTTGAGTGTTGTGTAAAACCATAAGCAATGCCTTTTGCACTGCTTGTTCTTTGCAGGTTTCTTTTCCAATACAGCCACCCATTAGAACATTGTAAGAAAGAAAGTATAATAAAGTAAAGCCTCCAGTAACTGGCATGGAAATGACTGCATTGAGGAAAAGATGCCATGTTCATTTGGGAATTACCCTGTTTATATTGCTGTTTAGTCTCTGAACATGTCCATGGTGAAATATATACCGATATGTACAGAACTCTGAACAATGTCTAACTGAGTTTCAGACTTACGTAGTTAATAAAAGAGCCAATTCTCTTCTGACAGCCTTGAATTCTTATTAAATGTATAAGTTTCATTCTAGGCAGCAGGTTTCTACATATTGGAAGCCCCAGGCTAAAGCAAAAGGAACAGGGAGCTTGTATATGTTGGTAAGTAAAACGCAGAGAGGAAAATTACTTTTTCTGCTATCAGAGCATTAGCTAATTTAGTGGCATGGTAGATTTTTTACCCCCTTAAGAAAATCAGGTAGGAAATACAACAGAAGAATTACTTTGTTTTATTTCAGCATCCATGTGTCGACTAGCAAATGTTGTACTTCGGATTGGAAAAGGGTACCCTCCCTTGAAAGGGGAGACCAGTTTCGTATGTTAAGAAAGTTTGCGTGTCCTTTATACAGAGCAATAGAAGACCACTTGAGAGTTTTCATTTGAGCTAATGGGACCAGTTGCGGGAATGGTACTTAAGGTAAGAAATGAAAAACAAGGTCTACTTCATAAAGGCTCACAGTGGTATGTTGTGGAAAGCGCAAAAATGTTCTTCTCTGTTTCACAGCTGGAAAGCTAAGGCAAAGATGCTTGAATATAGCATAACATTTTTTTTTGTTAGAGACAGGAAGTGAATCCAAATTATTAATGCCTGACACTGTCCTCCACTCCTCTTAGAGCTAACAGCTTTTTATAATGCTTCAAGGCAGTAAAATCATTGATGTATTTGAGATAAAGGTACATGTTGACAACATTGTCTTATTTCAAAGGCAGAACTGAATCAAATGAAATAACGTAATGAAAACTGCACTCCTGAATAGGATGCTCTTCACAGCAATACTGAAGTACTTGTAAAACCTAGTAAAATGAGATTTTTACTTTGGCTTGGTGCAGGCAGTGTATCATTGAAAAGGTCTCGTAAATGAAGTACTGCTTTGGGCTTTGTCGTTCAGCTTAACTCCCATTTCCAGGCCACGTGGCTCCCCTGAATACTGCATTGTCTTCTTTTGCCTAACAAAAAGATTGTCATAATTTCTCATGGAGGCAGGTAGAGGGGTGATATGGAAAAGGGGCAAATGGGAGAAGTAACAGCTAATTTTGCAGGGAAACAGCTGGGAATTATCTGTGTATCACAGTTGCTTCTGTTAAAGACTAAATTACTCTTGAACCAGCTGCTGCTGTGAACAAACACATGTGAAAATCTTTATCTGGAGCACCAAACCTTAAAAACACCTTGGAACCATAGCACTGACATATGGTACAGCATCTTAAAAGTGACAGGCAGAATCGTTGTGGGTACAGGCTTTACTGATAAGAATAGCAGAACAAGTAGAAGTAATGAAAGGTGCAGAACCTTATGGAGTGATTTTCAGAGAAACTGGATGTGACAGCACCAGTCAGTCTAAAAAGAGCCCCCAAGTTGAAACAGTGGAACAGCGTTTTTCTGAAGTATAATGATGAAGACAGATGAATGTAGGAGGAATGAAATAAATGAGCTCTTAACACACTATTTAAAATCAGTTTTAAAAGTGATGAAAAGACTTTCCGGTGCTTTTTAAAAATACTTTGAACTTTTAATCCTTTTAAAGAAGAGATTAAAGAAAGCAAAGAGTATCTCTTCCTCCTTTACTTACTAGGAATGAAAAATGTATTATCTAATTCTACGAGTGTTTGCACATAATAAAAGGGTAAAATATCAGCTGTTAGTTGTGAGAGGAGATATTCCTTGACTGTGTTTTAACAGGTGCAGCAAGGTGACTTAACTACCATCAGCTGTCATGACTTTGCCTGCAGTCCAACTCTGTTTCATGCAAAATTTGGAGGAAGAGGTGGCCTTGGATCTGCAAAGAGGAGATTAATGAATTTAGCCCAGAGAATGTGCCAAGTTTGAGGGTTCTGTGCCAGAAAAGCACCGTCTGCAACTTTCTGCCTAGATTCTACAAATTAACACTAGCATCTTGATTGGACTTGCAAGCAAATAAACAAATAAGACTGCCTCACATATAGTCATGATGTAAGATGTTCAATAATGACAGTTCACCAAAGCAAATGATCCCCTAGCCTCTTCCAGTATGGAAGAGGTTCCCATAAACTCATCTAATATGGACATTTCTGGAGCCTGACTTTATCTCCTCCTTGTTTCTCCAAAAGCAAGTGCTGGTGTGATATTTGTTTCTGGTAATGAGTTACAACACTGATTTCTTGGGTCTTTAGCAATTGCTGCAGGTCTGAAGATTTTTAGAGGGTCTGGCTTTCCATGGGGACACTATGCAATATTCAAATTACGATAATGGAACCAAAATTAATGCTGTAAACTCCAGTTCTGAAGAAATGTGGACCAAATAAAATATCTAGAGAGGAGCTCAAAGCAGGATATCCAAAGCAAAATTCCCCAGAGTTCAGAAACAGATGGATGAGTAAGGTTTGGTTGTTTACTTCCATCATAATAAAATACATTTTTATTTTGAAACAAACTACTGAAAAATGAGTATTGGACACTGATCTGCTTTCTTATTCTGCCATATAAACTCCCAGGTTGCTAATTAATTTGCAAAAACTGCCAAATCATTAAGGAATGAACATGGAATATTTTTACCTTTGTATGCTGATGAAATGGGAAAACTTTTTGTTTTCATTTAGTAAGCATCTCGTATACCAAAACCGCAGATACCAAATTGCTTTAAAATTTTTCTGTTCCTACAGTCTACTGAATACTTACAAAACTTAAGCAATTTAACATTATAAGTCAATATATATATATGCATATATATTTAAAAAGAAATATTTTTCCTGATAGTTCTTGGTTGTATGTGAAACTGCTCAGTTAATTTCAACAAAGGGTAGCATTCTGCTTGGTGAATTCATATACTGCAGTTACCAACCTTGGCTTTGCAGTCTGTCTGTTCGTGATGATGCTGCTCTTGCAGACTTCCTCAGCTTGGGTCCATTTCTTATGGACCCAACATTCATAGCTATCAGGACCCAGCATGTGGCCATGACTCTCCTGCTTCAATATTTTTCCTGATAGTTCTTGGTTGTATGTGAAACTGCTCAGTTAATTTCAACAAAGGGTAGCATTCTGCTTGGTGAATTCATATACTGCAGTTACCAACCTTGGCTTTGCAGTCTGTCTGTTCGTGATGATGCTGCTCTTGCAGACTCAGTAGCAAAAAAAATCCCAAAGTATTTATGTTTTAAATGTTCTAATGGAAATGCTGCTGGTTAGAACTGCTTGAGAAGAACAATAATTTTCAGGCATCTAGCAAGCTGATAACTTTATTCTCTGTGTCTAGGTCTCCAGAGGCTGTGAGTTGGGAGTAGTAAGTCGTAATGGATTTACAAGGGACTTAACTCTACTAACAACAAGGTGAGCTTGTCCTTTGCTGACCACTCAGCTATTACAAGCAGAATTTGTAAACCACAACTTTTTGTAGACTTCCAAGCAGGATTTGATGTGACTAGTCATGCTCCCGTTGGAATGGGCTGACATTTTGTTAACGGTAATGCAGTAGGTATAAGCCTTTCAGGGTCAAACATTTTCTGTACTTAAATAGATATCTTTCATATTGCTGTGACGAGCCTAACAATGAGAAGTGCTCACCTTGTGCATGAGTAATGTGGAGAGCCGGCTAACAACAGCCATTCTGCATGTATGCAAGGGGACCTAAGTTGAAAAAACACAAGTCTAATTCTAATATTTGTTAACTTGTGGATGTTTGACTTTGCAAGTCAAGATAGGCTGTATGTACAATATTGTCTTAAACGAGATAGATGGCCTTCCTTGTCTGCTTAGAAGGTTTAATTTTCATGAGGCAATGTGATAGCAAAAACAGATGTGTCTGCACTAGTTAAAATTTACATTTTTTTCCTGAAATTTGCAAAACCATTGCAAAACCCAGGCTCTCTTTCTGATTATATGTTATGCATGTTTTGAAAACATTAATGCTAAATTTTCCTGAGGAAAAAGAACAGCCTGAAGTCTATTGTGATCTAAATATGATTGTTACTTCCCTTGAAAACAGGCCTGCAACTTTGGGATTCCATGAAAATTGATGTAATGTGTCCTACAGCCTTATGGCAGAGATCTTAGTCTGTCCTCTCCTCTGAAACCTCAATATTTGCATATAAAATTAATGTAAGAGCAACTTCTGCTTTCAAGATTAATTATATGCATTCAGTTTCTTAATATTTTTATCATAACTTTGCTAGTATCTTGTTCCTTATAATTCCTGACTAAACTTGGCCATACCACGACATGTGGTGTTTTAAGAGGTGCTGTTTATATCCTATGTTATTGAGTATTTTATATATTCCTGAGATCTGTTTTCTATAGAAAACTCTTCTTCAAGTATTTTAAGCTATATTAAGTGGCAAAAAAAAAATGAGGTAAGTGCTCAAAGTTTTCTAAGGAACCCAATTTGTTGATGTGATCAAAAAAGACAATTACTTTTTAAACCTTTTTTCGTCATTTTGGTAGTGTTCAGTGTGAAGTTAAGAATATGTGACTCAAGAGAAAATTGGTTGATACTCATTTTGAGAAAAAAATAAAAATAAAAAGAATCTATTGTATTCATATAGAGCCTGTCTGAGACCCGGGGGAGCAAGCAGAAAATAGCTGGGCTGTAATGAGGAAATGTGCAGCTGATTTGAATTAGTATAGCTCAGTTGACTTCAGCGAAGCCACACTGATTTATAGGAGCTGAATATTTTTTCAGGGTGGTGTTGTTACTCTTGTTTATTTAAACACCAGCTGTGCTTAATATTGAGCAGAACTGGAAAATATTGTTTCCCAACCCATGGCCCTGTGCTCATTGGATTTCCTTGCATTTGCATTAATCAAACTGGGATAGGAACCTGGCTGAATATATACAAAATTCTGAGAGGCAGATCTTTCTTTTTCCTTCCTGCTTTGAGCCACTTGGTCGGCTCAAAGCTAGTAGAAAGCTGAGCTAACCAGATGGCTGGGGGTTTCTCTGTGGAAGGCTCTCCTGGGGGGAACGCAGAACCAGGCCAGGGGTTTACTTGATTTGAGGGGTACCCAAAAACATTTGGCTTGAGTGTTTGTCTGCCCAGATGATCACAACCTGCCAGGACAGCCAGAGGGGCTGGCACACTACAGGGCATCCCTAGAGCTCTGCTTCAGCGCGCTGGGGCGAGAGGAGCGAACGTGGCCGCGCTTCTCCCAGTTGTATCCGGTGATCTTGGCTAAAATGAAAAATTCGCTCCTGTGAGCTACATTTTTTTTTTCCTGAAAAGTCAGAGTTTTCATTTGGAGGAGTAGTTTTGTATGCAAACCTTCTCAAGCATAAAGATGAGAATATTCTCTAAGGTGTATTACTACTGCTTCATGTGCATGGTTTTGCAATTCATTAAACCCTTCTCTCCTGCATGAAAATGTTAGTTCATATAAAAATCTGTAATGTAAGTCTATAAAATGACACATATAACCATGATGAAGTACACTTCTATTAGTTACGTTCC